GACACTACAGAAATGCAAAGGATCATTAAAACATGCTACAAACAATTATACACCAATAAATTGGACAGTCTAGGCAAAATGAACAAATTTCTAGAAACACAGTCTCTCAAAACTAAACTGGGGAGAGGGAGAAAATTTGATCAGACAAATAATAATTGAGGAAATTGAAGGTGTAATTAAGAAACTCCCCACAAACAAAAGCCCAGGCCCAGATGGCTTCACAGGGGTGTTATACCAAACATTCAAAGATCTAACACCCATCCTCATACTATTCCAAAAAACCCAATAAGACAGAAGACTTCCAAACTCATTTTATGAGGCCAGCATAATCCTAATCTCAAAACCAGATAAAGACACCACAAAGAAAGAAAACTAGGGGCCAATATCCCTGATGAACACAAATGCCAAAATCCTTTAAAAAATATTAGCAAATCAGATCCAGCAATACATCAAAAGTTATTCATCATGACCAAATGGGATTCATCCTAGGGATGCAAGGGTGGTACAGTGTTCACAAATTAATAAATGTGATACACCACATAAACAAAATGAAAGATAAAAACCATATGATCTTATCAATAGATGTTGAAAAAGCATTCGACATACTCTAGCATCCATTTCTGATAAAAACACTTAGCAGTGTGGGAATAGAGGGATCATACCTTGACATAATAAAGGCCATATATGAAAAACCTACAGCTAACATCATACTCAGTGGGCAAAAACTAAAAGCATTTTCCTTAAGATCAGGAACAAGACAGAGAGGCCCACTCTTGCTGCTCTTATTTAACATAGTACTAGAAGTCTTAGCCACAGTAATAAGACATGAAAGAAAAATAAAAGGGATCCAAATTGGAAAGGAGGAAGTGAAACTGTCATTATTTGCAGATGACATGCTATTGTACATAGAAAACCCTAAAGATGCCATCAGAAATTTACTAGGTTTAATAAATGAATTTGGCAAAGTAGCAGGATACAAAATTAATGTCAAGAAGCCAGTGGCATTTGTATACACCAACAATGAACTCACAGAAAGAGAAACTGAAAAAACAATCGCATTTACCAATGTGGCAAAAACATATATACCTAGGAATAAGCTTAACCAAAAAGTAAAGGACCTATTTGCAGAAAACTATAGGTCATTGAAAAAAGAAATAGAGGAAGACATAAAAAAGTGGAAGCACATACCTTGTTCATGGATTGGAAGAATTAACATCATTAAAATGTCTATACTACCCAAAGCAATCTATAGATTCAATGCAATCCCCATCAAAATGCCAACGACATATTTCACAGAACTAGAACAAATACTCCAAAAGATTATATAGAACCAAAAAAGACCCCAAATAGCTACGGCAGTCTTGAAAAAGAAGGACAAAGTAGGAAGGATCACAATATTGGATATCAGGTTATACTACAAAGCCATTGTAATCAAAACAGCCTGGTACTGGTACAAGAACAGGCATATAGACCAGTGGAACAGAACAGAGAACCCAGAAATTGACCCAAGACATTATGCTCAATTAATATTTGACCAAGGTGGCAAGAGCATACAGTGGAGTCAAGATAGCCTTTTCAATAAATGGTGTTGGGAAAATTGGACCGCTACATGCAAAAAAATGAAACTAGACCACCAACTTACACCATACACAAGAATAAACTCAAAATGGATTAAAGACCTACATGTGAGTCGTGAATCCATAAAAATCCTAGAAGAAAATGTAGGCAACAAAATTTGAGACATCACACGCAGAAATTTCACTGATAAAATGCCTCAGGCAATCAAAGGAAAAAATGGATACATGGGACCACATCAAACTAAAAAGCTTCTGAACAGCAAAAGAAACAACCATCAAAATAGGCAACCTACTATATGGGAGAGCATAATTGCCAACAATACATCAGATAAGGGTTTAATTTCCAAAATATATAGAGGATTCATACAGCTCAACAAGAAGAAGACAAAGAACCCAATTAAAAAATGGACAGAGGACCTAGACACCTCTCCAAACTGGACATACAAAAGGCCAAGAGACGTATGAAAAAATGCTCAGTGTCACTAATCATCAAAGAGATGCAAATTAAAACAACTATGTGGTATCATCTCACACCTGTCAGAATGGCTGCCATCAACAAATCATCAAACAACAAGTGCTGGCGAGGGTGTGGAGAAAAGGGGACTCTAGTACACTGCTGGTGAGAATGCAGACTGGTGCAGCCATTATGGAAAACATTGTGGTGTTAACTCAAAAAGTTAAAAATTGAACTGCCATTTGACCCAGTGATCCCACTTCTAGCAATATACCCTAAGAAGCCTGAAATACCAATCAGAAAGAATATTTGTACCCCTATGTTCATAGCAGCACTATTTATAATTACCAAGATTTGGAAGCAGCCCAAGTGTCCATCAATAGATGATTGGATAAAAAAGCAGTGGTATATATACGCAATGGAATACTATGCAGCCATCAGAAAGAAAGATCTCTTATCCTTTGAGACGACATGGAATAAACTGGAGAGTATTATCCTAAAACAAGCCAATCAGAGAAAGACAATTATCATATGATCTCACTTATTTGTGGAATATAATAAACAAAACAAGCTGATGAACGAAATAGACCCAGAGACATAGAAGACTGACAATCCTCAGAAGAGGGAGTGGGACGGAGGAAATAAACCACAGAAGTTATGTGCATGTATGCTTAACCATGGACATAGACAACAATGCTGAGGACAGTGGGATTGGGAGGAGGGTGTCAATGTGGGGGAAAGAAACATCTGTAACAAAAATAAATTAATAATCTCCCTGACCGGTTAGCTCAGCAGTTAGTGCATCTGCCCACAGACCAGCGTCCTGGGTTCGGTTCCAGCTAAGGGCACATACCTCGATTGCAGTTTATCCCCAGCTCCAGTTGGGGTTGTTTGGGTTGCAACCACTCAATGTGTCTTTCTCACATTGATGTTTCTCTCTCTCTCTCTCTCTCTCTCTCTCTCTCTCTCTCTCTCTCTCTCTCTCTCTCTCCCTTCCTTTCTCCCTCCCACTCCATCTGAAGATAAATGCAAAAATGTCCTTGGGTAAGGATAAAAATAAATTTAAAAAATCAATAACATGTATATATACTAGCAATAAATAGTTAAATGTAATTTTAAAGATGCTTTTATTGAAATAAAAACAATTTTAAAATCTAGAAATAAATCTGAAAAGACCTGTAAGACTTTGTGGGAAATATTGGAAAGCATTAATAAAGAACATAAGACACCTAATTACATGGAAATATATCACATTCAGACAAGGAAAGACTCAATAGCATAAAAAGGACAATTCTTCCCCAAACTAATATATTCATTGTAGTTCTGGTAGAAATCTGATCGCATTCTACAATTCACATGGAAAAGTAGAAGATCCAGAACAGTGAAAGTGTACAAGTCAGGGAGCATATGAATTATTGTATTAGGTATTAAGAGTTACATCAAAGGTACAATAATTACAAAGCATAATATGGGTACAGGTATGGATAAGTAAACCAGTGAAATAAAACAGAACCCAGAAACTGACCTACATATATTTGAGAACTTACTGTATCATAAGCATTATGAAGGACTAGTGCTATCAACAAATAGTATCAGGGGTGGACTGACATGTTGTCTATATTACCTCATAACAAATATAAAAATAAATTCTAGGTGGATGGAACATATAAATATGAAAAGCAAAACTTCAAAGTAATGAAAAGAAAATACAGTAGAATGTTTTAAAATCTGTTAAATGTCTGTATATATATGCCTATACGCATGTACAGTTTTATATAGATGCATAAGTATGGTTATGTATATACTTTTTTCCCCTCAGTACAATCCTTTTGCTTGGTAGTTTTCTCCCTGTTCTCCCTGTATAAGAACTTCTCTCATTGCCCAACCTCCACTCTAACCCATGTCAATACCACGGTTCTATATTCCTCTGTAATATATTGTTCATATACTTATTTCCATACACAGCCTTACAGATAAGATACATATGCAGGATTTTTGCTTAGCTTGCTTTTCAAAGTTAGGATCCATACTTTTCTCATCTTCTGGATATGACTTTGGGATCAATTAAGATTTCTTGAATTCTGTCATCTCGTTTTTTAGTTTTTCCTAATTCTGATTTATATTCTTCCATGTCTTATGTCATTTTTTTCAATGTCTTTAGCTAAATTTGAAATAGTATGTTATAGTTTTTCTCTGCTGTTTTGATCTTTTGAGGTGCCTTCATTCCCTATAGGGTTGCTATTCTGCCCCTTATTCTCTTTTTTTCTTAGAGTTATTTTGTGTAGGATTTTACTTGGAAAATTTTCTGTTTGTTTTAATGTGAATGTTGTTTTCTTTAACTTTTAACGCAGAATTGGTTCACAAGGCTTTTTTAATAACTTCATGGAGCTCCCTCTTTTATTGTTTTCATGGTGGCTTACTTCTGAGACTTCCAGGCTCCACATATTTTCCCCAATTCTATCTGGACTTTACCTTTTCTTTTCTCTATTATCCCTGTCCTGCTCATTTTGATTCAGTTTTCACCAGTTTCTCCTCAAGGTGGGTAATGAATTACACTGGGCCAAGAGAAAAGCATTTTTCTTCTTCTAGTGAAAGCCTCCTCTCTCCCATAGAATAAATACTATGTGTTTTTTAAGAAACTTGTTGCCTTTATGTATAAAACATATTTACTTTTTCTCTAACAAATACAAACAGCCCTTGACTTACATAAGAGTACTGTTTTGAAAAACTTTACATAAGTAAGTTTTTTAATAGGGTGCAATCACTTCACAAGAGATGATTTAGTCCGGGTACTATTTAAACAGTATAAATGATAGAGATAATTTATGAGCATCCTTCATAAAAATATTATTCTAAATACACCCAAAGGCTTCACTTTTGAAAATGATTTACTAATTGTATGAAGTCTTTGTTTAATGGAGTAACGTGCATAACTTCTATATAAGAATGAAATCTTTTTTGTCTTATAGAAAAGAAAACGAAGAGCAAAAGATGATGATGTTGTAAGCCTTAGCAGCCTTGATCTGAAGGTAAGCCTTACTGCTCTGTCAAGAAAGACCTTTAAAGATATGCAGGTAGCATTTATTTCTGTTCTATAAGAACAATGAGTGCTTTTTCTTTGCATTTTTAAAGTGTAAAATTAAATTATATTGGCTCATAGATAGCCTCTTCTTTTCTGTTCTACTTTGTTAAAAATGAGGAGAAAGCCTCCCTCAGAACAATTAGGCTATAACTGGTGGTAACAAATTCAAATGTTAAGTTGACCAGGTCTGTGATATATGCAGAGAAAGGAGGTATGTGGTGAAAAGGAGAGTGCCATGCCCCTCCTGAAAGAGGAAGCTGTTGCTGTGCTCTAGTCCATTGCTGCATGTAAGACTGTCAAAATCTGGATTTTATGTGAAAGCACCTGAATTTTAAAAATCAGATCAAATTTTTCTAAAAAGTCGTGCAAGCCAAATAACTCATCTCCAAGGCAGATGTGATCCGTGAGTTTTCAGTGTGTGACCTGTGAAAAACTAAAACTCAGTGCACACTTAAAAATGATTATGTCCTTTAATGTGAAAAGTCCCCAAACCTGGTATCTTTGGAATTACTTATTCTATTTTTATCATTTGGCAAATTTTGTAGAACCATCTTGGTTTTAAGGAACTTCTTTTTTTTTTTTTATAAAGTCTTCCATTTTTTAATTTTTATTTTATTTTGAGAGAGAGAGAGAGAGAGGAAGGGAGAGAAAAAACATGGATGTGAGAGAGAGACATGGATTGGCCACCTCATGCACGCCCCCTACTGGTGATCAAGCTCACAACCTGGGCATGTGCCCTGACTGGGAATCTATCTAGGACCTCTCAGTCCATGGGAAAATGCTCAATCCACTCACAGTGTCCGGGCTTAAGGAACCTTTTTTAAAGATTGTTATGAAAAAGATATAAATTTTTAATGAGATGTTAAAAAATCGTTTGACATTGTGTTTAATGATGGCAGTTACTGCTGCTTTTTTTAGGACAAGGTATTTTCTAAAAATTAAATTTGTGTAGGTCTGCCCCATCAACATTTTAGCAAATCCAGCAAGCCTAGTGTGTGTGTGTACATATGAATTTATAGAAGAATTGTGTGTTTTAAGTGTTAGGTTTTCTGCAAAACAGTTTTAATGACTGGTTTTTTTTAATCCTCACCCGAGGATATTTTTACATTTATCTTCAGACAGAGTGGAAGGGAGGAAGAGAGAGAAACATTGATGTGAGAGAAACGCATCAATTGGTTGCCACCTGCACGACCCAAACCAGGGCCAGGGACAGATCACAAGCAAGGTACGTGCCCTTGGCCAGAATCAAACCTGGGACTCTTTGGTCCATGGGCTGGCGCCCTAACTGTTGAGCCAAACCGGCCAGGGCTTAATGACATTTTTTAAATCTTGTTTTCAAAGAAAGAAAGATTATGAAATGACAACCCTGAATATTTTTAGTTATGCCTCAAATCAAATCATGCACAGAAGTAAGACAGTTATTTGTAGTTTGCCACAATAAAATCATGGTCAATTCTACTTAGAGACAATCCTTGTTTTTACCCCAGTTTCAGCAATTATTAGTATACAATCAGTTCAGTATTGTTGCATCTATCCACTCAGCTACCCTACTGTGGATTATTTTGAAGCAAATCCTAGGCATTGTATTGTTTTATCTGTATTATCAGATTCAGTGCCCACACTTTCCTTGATTGTGTTATACATTTTTTGTTTTGTTTTTCATTTTGTCTGTTTGAATTCAGTTCATATAAGATCCATACATTGTGATATCTCTTAAGTAACTTTTAATCTATATGTTTCCTCTATAACTGTTTTCTTGTAATTTGTTGTTGTTGAAGAAGCCATATCTTTTTTCCTGTAGAACTTTCTATAGCCTGAATGTTCATGATTGCATCCCCATGGTATCATTTCCTATATTCCTCTATTCCCTATACTAGTGATAAATTGGTAGTTAGATCTAGAGGTTGTTTGTTTTGGTCTGTGTACTTCCTTCAAGGGGTATATAATGTCTTTGTGATGATCTCAAAATTAGTATTGCCTAGATCAGTTTGTTCATTGGAGGTTGCAAAATTGTGATATTGTACCTTTATCAGTCCTCTGTTTATTGTCTGGAATATTTCTGTAAAGAGAAAATTTCCCTCATCAACCATTTGGTTAATTTGAGGTACTTATTTATAATAAAGATAGGACAAGTACTTGATTCCTTTATCATTTTTCAAAAATGAGTTTTATTCATTAAAATTCTCTAAAAGTCACTAATGATTTTTTCTTTATAATATTAATATTATTATGAAATCATGGATATAAACACATTTGTTGTATTTTGACTCATTTTGGTTTTTATTTTATTTTATTTTATTTTATTTTATTTTATTTTATTTTATTTTATTTTATTTTTTATCCTCACCCGAGGACATTTTTTCCATTTTTTGTTCAGATAGAGTGGGAGGGAGAGAGAGGAAGCGAGAGAGAGAGAAATATCGATGTGAAAGGGACACATGGAGTGGCTGCCACCCGCATGAACCAACCAGGGCCGGGGACAAACTGCAACCGAGGTACGTGCCCTTAGTGGGAACCGAACCCAGGTCTCTCTGGACTGCAGGCCGACACTCTAACTGCTGAGCCAAACCGGCCAGGGCTCATTTTGGTTTTTACTATGCTCAAATTATTCCTTCTTTGGCCACTGGATGCTGCTTCAGGATGGTTCCTGTGTCTTTTTCCTTCCCAGCTTTATTAACATATAACATTGTGTAAATTTAAGGTGTACAAAGTGTTGATTTCCTGCATCCTTTTGACATGACCCTAGCCTCATATCTAGAAACTTAATAGCCTTCTTTTCTTCTGGAGTTGACAGGTTAGTCTAGGATCTAGGACAACAGTCTACAACTACAAATTAATGCAAATGATATGATTACTGAAAATTTTATGTTTTATTTTTTAGGGTTTTTTTGGGCGGAGGGGGTACTCCACACCTGCAGTCGATCATTTCTAAAAGTTCTAATTTCCTTGAGAAATGGTAGGGGCTAAAATCTGGGTATTATGAACTGCTTGCTACTGGATTGATCATTGTTTCTAGGCCTTTTTAATGGATGGTGCTAAGAAAATATATAATTTTTAAGATAAAATAAATTATGACTTTATATTAATGTTTCAAATTAAAGGCTAAAGGGTTTCATACTTAATCTTATCAATTTTACTGTCTGAATCTCTTACAGCTGCACCAAAAATTTGGGTTCTGGGGACACTGATATAATTAAACACTTTACTCATCCATGGTTCTAGGACAACAGTTATATTATTACAGATTACTACAAATGATACAGTTATTGAAAACATTTTATGTTTTATTTTTCAGGGTTTTTTTGTTTTTTGGTTTTTTTTTACACACAGACTTTAGTAAGGATGTACAAATTACTTGATTTTTAAATTATTGAACTATTTTTTTTTCTGTGTGTAATTATGCCCATAACTCACTTATGTTTTTTTATTTTTAATTTTTTATTTTTTCTTTATTGTTTTTTTTTTAGAGAGAAGAAGGGAGAGGGAAAGAGAGATAGAAACATCGATGAGATTGGCCGCCTCCTGCATGCCCCCCACTGGGGATCGAGCCCACAACCTGGGCATGTGCCCTAACCGGAAATCGAACTGGCAACCTCTTGGTGTATGGGTCGACGCTCAACCACTGAACCACACCAGCCGGGCTGATTTTCAATTTTTAAGAATTACTGCTTTTAAGTTTAATTTTTCTTATGCGGAATGTAACAAAATTATGTAGAATTTCAAAGTCAGTCCTATAAGATTCTCATTTCTGTCCCCGGCTCTTACTCCCTATTCCTTCTTCCATACAAAATCTTTCTTTTTTAAATTTTATGGTTTGTCCTCCACTTTTTAAAAATTTAAGCAATTGCATATATATCTGTAGATCTCACTGTCTTAGATAGACAGTAGTGTGCTTTCTTTCATTACCTGTTCTATTTTATTATGTCCTTTTTGTTTTACTTTGTGTTTGTACTTAGGTATATCTTTTGATATTTAGGAAGATTCATGTTTTTAGTCTGTTGGTTATCTTTATAGAACCAATAGATCTATTTATCTTTATATACCTTCAATTCCTTTTTGTTGGTAATTGTAGATTGGTTCATTCCTATCAGCATTATTTTAATTAACTAACACCGCTTCTCCTTCCCTGATTGAAGTAATATCTCTTTATTCTAAATTAATACATTTAAAGTAATAAGTGCTTATTTTACTTTTCATGTACACACTCACCATTTTCCATTTTTAAAAATAGTTTTGCCGTGTCTAATGGGTCAGAGCATGTAGCCATTACAAGCTACGTTGTGTACTCTGATAACCATCATTTAGTTTTAGTTCTACAAGTAAATATATATTTAGTGCTCAGCACCAGTCACTACCTTCCTAGTACTACCTTCCTAGCTGTTTCTAGTACAGGGGTCAGCAAACTGGTCCATGAGGCATATTTGACTTGCTCATTTATTTACATAGTATTTATAACTGCTTTTAAAAACACTACAATGGCAAGTCCTGATCAAATAGCTCAGTTGGTTAGAATGTTGTCCTGATAAACTAAGGTTGTGTTTTCGATCCCCGGTCAGGGCACATAAAAGTGAACCAAGGAATACATAAATAAATGTTGTTGTTTTTTAAAAAAAACACTACCATGGCAAAAGTTGAGTAGTTGTGACAGAGACTATATGACCTGCAAAGACTAAAATATTTACTATTTGGCCTTTTACAGAAACAGGTTGCTGACTGCTCTTCCAGAATTGAGTGAATTCAGAGGAAAAGTTTATGGGAACCATATTCCCTGATTGATTTGAATGTGCAGATCAGTTTGTGTGCAGTCTTTATATTTGCCAGGTTAGTTTGAATGGAGACAAGATCCGTGCCTCACATTCCTTTCCTTGAATTTATTAAATATTTCATTTCATTGTTTTCTGGCATAAAGTGTCACTCTTGAAAAGTTATAATAGGTTGTTTCAGGTC